GGCTGCTGGGTAGGAGATGGACTGGCCCCAGGTGAAGCCGTCCCCTCCGGACTGCTGGCGAGGTGGTAAGCATTGCGAGACCACCTTTCCGGATCAAGATGCTGATTTCTTGCACCTTCACGCCGCTGGGGAGTGCCCGTTGCGGGCATTTGCTGATTCGCGGCCCGAGTAGCCCCTCTGCCTCAACGGGCGGTATTATCGCCCGTAATCTGTTTAAAATGGCCTTGCCCACTGGTCCATGTAGCTGGGCTTGTATGTCCGCGGGGTCGGAACCGGCCGGCCAATGGATTTCCATGGTAACCTGGTCCTGTTCCGCATGAAATGGTGTTCCTTCTGGAACCGTTTCCATTATTATGTCGATGTTCACAAACTTTCGTTCCGCTTGGGCGCGGCTTGGTTGTTGGCGAGCAGCTGGGGCTGTCGCCCGTCCATTTGAACGTTCATTTGGCGCGGAGGTCCGCGCCTGCCCATTTTCTGCCATTCTGGCCTATATTAACTCAAGCATAATTTTCGAGAGATCTCCGTTTTTGCCGCGGTCGGCGAGGTCAGCCATAGGCAGTTCGTGGTCGCGTTTTAACGAATATTACATTTGCTTTGTTGTTGTTGTTGTTGTTACATGGTCGTGGGTGCGTTCCCCGTACCTGCAAACCACCCTAATACGAGCCGAGGGCTCAAGGGCTGCTAAATCGCCTATAAGCACCATCCTACCTCGCACTTCCAACGAAACAAGTAATGATGTGTAATATGAGTATATGTGGGGGGGAATTGCTGTGGGTGAGTGAGGTTGACCGTAGATGTGAATGTGGATGGGCGGCTGCATGTTGCAAGTTACAAGCTCCGCATGAATGGGGGTTGGGTGTCCGTGGCATTTGGGGGAGCCATGGACGAGACGGTCAATATCCATTATTGTGGCGCTATGCGTTAAATTGTGCGAAGCTCAGATTCCCCTTCTCTGTCTCAATGTCTCACCCATCCACTCCCTTGCCCGTGCTCCCAACAGCCTCGCGCCGCTTCCCCCGGCGCCACCAACGCTGCCGCCGACGCCGCCGTCACCCTCGCCGCTGCCGCCGCCACCGCCGTCACCCACGCCGCCGCCCAGCCCCCTGCCGCCATCGCCGCCACCGTTGCCACCGCCAACACCGCGGCCGCTGCTGCCGCAGCCATTGCCACCGCCGCCAAGCCATTCCACCACAACAGCGCTGCTGCCGCCGCGATCCCCTGCAGTGACTGAGGCAGCCAAGTCGCCGCCGCCGCCGCCATTGCCGCCGCCTTTTTCGCAGTCTTCAGAGGTCCTTCTTTCGCCACCGCTGCTGCCTCCGCCGCTGGGGCCTGCGCGGCCGCCGCCACAGCCGCCGCCGACTACGCTGCCGCCGCCACCGCTACCGGCGACGGCCTCCTCTTCACTTCCGCCACAACGGCAATGGCCGCTACAACCGCCCCGGAGTATCCCAGCGCCAAACATATTCCCGCTACAGCCTAACGCCCCAGCGGTCCCCGTTGAAGCTCCACCTGACGGCGCGCCGCTGCAGCCGGCCGTACCCGTATATGCGTCACGTCCGCATCCGCCGCCGCCCCCACCGCCCCCACCGCCACCGCTGCCAGCCATAGAAGACGTCGCCGCACCTCGCCCGCGGCCGCCGCCGCCGCCGT